TCTCACCTACTTCTGTAATGCTATTGTTTTTGTTGTTATGTGCCATCGAGTCGGTCCCGACTCATAGCGACCCCTCCTTGGGTTTGCGAGGCAGTATCACTACGGAAATAGGATTGACCAATCTTCCTTCTGAGGAGTGGCTGGTGGGTTTGAACCGCCAGCCTTCTGGTTAGCAGTCAAGTGCTTTAGCCACTATGCTACCAGAAAGAAGGTTTGTGATCATAAATCCCTCTTTCAATGAGTTAAATATGACTGAAATATTTAATTGTATCTTTTAATGACAGTGAAATATGGAGCATATACAAATTTTATTGCTTTTTGTAGTACATTTTCTTTTTTTTTTTTTAATGTTAAATGTTTGCCAGTTACTCATTATTATTATTATTATTATTATTATAAGTGGATCCCTGGTGGCAATGGTTAATTGCTTGGCTGCTAACAAAAAGGTCAGCTGTTAGAACCCACCGCTGCTCCAGGGAAGAAAGAGGAGGCCTTCTGTTTCTGTAAAGATTACAGCCTAAGGACCCTATGGCGCAGTTCTCTACTCTGTAGGGTTGCAATGAGTCAGAATCCACTCTTAGTACACAACAACAATTAGTATTTTATTCTAAAACTTTTCTCCTGAAGAAAAACCATTAAAGACAGCTTACTCTGGGGGAAACGAGGTGGGTTGTCATTGACATCCGTCAGTGTGATGTTCACTGTAGTGGTCCCCGATAAGCCACCCATTTGGCCGCCCATGTCTTTGGCCTGGATGACAACTTGGTATTGTTCTCTGTTTTCTCTGTTCATGTTTGGCAAAGCAGTCCTGATTATACCTTCAAGACAAAGAAAAATTGTTGTTTTCCTCATAAGTTCACAATTATTATTTCATTAAGCCCATAAGTAACACTTGAAAGCAGAGATTTTTTGAAAGATAAAATACTTTTGGTACTAATTTTCATTGTTTAGAAATTGTAACAAGATGCTTCAATGTCAATATTTTATGATTTGTAATGCTTCTTTATTTCCTAAAGAATACAGTATGTACTTTATAGTGATCATAACCCATGACAAAAGGCATAAAAGCAGCTGTATTTCCATTGACGTCATGCAATCATTGAAGTTCGAATTCTTACCAAGTGGTAATGTGCAAGTTTTATTCTTATCCTCTCGACCTCTACTTACAAAAATCATAAAGATTATTAAATTAACAACAGTGATCCATTATTCCTAACCTGTTTCAGGCTCCACAGAGAAGTAAGGCTGGCCTTGAAGTACGCTGTAGACGACGCGGGCACTGTTCCCGTACGAAGGGTCATCGGCATCTGCGGCTGTGACCTGCACCACCGAAGTACCTGAAGTATCCAAATGCAGCTTAGTTCTGCACAGCACCAGGAGGAGCAAAAACACTGGTTTTCATGGAAGACTTGAATGATTTTGGCTCTAATAATGACCTCTTAAAGAAACATTTATACATAATTGGGATGAAGATCATTTGTGTGTGTGCACATGTGTTTGTGCATATATTTTTGTGTGTGTGCAGTGTCGTTACTGAAAAATTCTGAGTTCAATATTTAATATATATTTAGTCAACATATATTATTATGTATACAGTAGGTAATACTATAATATATCAGATTATAATAAATTTAGTCACTTTCCAAATGCTCAGATTTAAAATTTAAATTCATTTTCATAGAATAGATTTGTTTCATATAAAGGGTATATCTAATCACAAAGGAGTAATTATATTCTTCTTCCCCTTCTTGGCTAATTAACTATAAAAAAGAATTAACATCTCTAGAATACATTTTTATGAATATATTAAATTCTAAACTTAGAAGTATTCCAAGAAGGTCCCATGTTTCATGAACTATTAAAAGCTATTTAATGAAGTTCAAGACATTTAAATGGGTTCTAGAGTAAGGCAATTGGTAAAAGCAATTCGGATTGAGAGAAGTAAATATTAAATAACAATCCCAGAACAATGCTTTTGAGAAAAGCAGAGTTGGGAAATTGCTATTATAAATGTTTCAAGGGAAAAAAGGAAATAGAGTAAGAATTATTTCTTGGGTTTATACAACTTCAACCACACATGAGAAAAGAATCCATTCTTCCACTAAAGCTAAAGGTAGGTAGGTAGGTAGGTAGATGATAGATAGATAGATAGATATATGTTGTTGTTTTGTGCCATCGAGTCGGACCCGACTCATAGCGACCCCTCCTTGGGTTTCTGAGGCAGTTTCACTATGGAAGTAGATTGCCCCATCTTCCTTCCAAGGAGTGGCTGTTGGGTTTGAACTGCCAGCCTTCTGGTTAGCAGTCAAGTGCCTTAGGCACTGTGCTACCAGAGCTCCCAGATAGATAGATAGATATCTAAGTATATTATCAGTGGTTCTTGGTGATTTTAATTATCTGCCATCTTTATGTCATTAAAAAACAAAGCAACATGAAAGCAGACTTAACTTATTTGCTGAAAAACAGACCTTCTGTTTATTCACACTGAATAGTGAATTCCTGAATTCTTGAATGTTTTTCACGTTTGCTATCTTAGTATAATGATTTTAACGAAAGCATCATTTTGGATACTTGATTTTAAACAATTAGATAATCTAAGCAATTCTTTCATTCTTATCTCAGTAAGCAGGGTAATTTATATTATATATATATATATATATATATATATATATATATACACACACACACACACACACAAATCCTCTATATTGCATTTATGGCATTCTAAAAGTATTTATAGTGTGTTTGGGATTTTGCATCCTAATCCACATAAAAAGGGTATATTTTTACAATTTTCTCCTGAAGTTCAAAGGTATTTTCTTGATTTTGAAGAAAGAATCTACCTGCTTGTGTTGTAAAAATTTAGTGAAAATGCATTAAATATCTTTTTCCCCCTAAATCACTATTTACCAAATGAGATAATTAAATATGCATCCTTTGCAGGGTATCAAAAGATTATTTCAATAAATTGATCACACTATTTTAAGATGTTCCTGATTTTATTTTTTTCACTTTTTGAATGTCATAACAAATATTGTTTAAAAAAAAAAACTTACCTACAACAGACATCTCAGGAACAGTAGCTGTATAAATCTTTTCTGGGAATGTTGGCTCATTGTCATTGATATCGTGGATTTTTATCACAAACTCAGACTCTGGCTCTACTGGCCGCAAAGTTCTTCTGTTAATAGCTTGTGCACGCAGAGTATAAAAGGCCTTTTCTTCCCTATCAATTCTTCTAGTGGCATGAATGTCACCTGTTTTTTCATCAATAATAAAAAGAGTTCCAGCTCCATCTCCAGATAAAATATATTTGAGTGATCCATCTCCTTTGTCTTGATCTGAATGAAGCTAGAGGAAATAATAAAAAATAAAATAAGGATTCAAAGGAGGTCCCTGGAATAATGGAATAAGTTTTCTGAATAATGGGGTCAGTTGTCTTTAGTTCTGAAAACAAGACTTGAATAAGTTCCACTTATTCTTTTATATACATTAAAAATAGCCTTTTGCATATCAATGTAATGAAGAATGCAATAAAAATAAACCCAACAGAGCCCCCTCTATCCTTTGCTTGATAAATACTTATTTTAATGAGGTAATAACTCCTGATTTAAAAAAAAAAAAAAAACATAAATCATTAATCTTGACATGTTGTTGTAAGGAATGTTTCTCTTTCCTATGAGTGGAAAATTCTCATACTCTCATGTTACACAAGAACTCACCTTCTATAAACTTACTGTTAAATTTTGAATTTTTCTTGGAGAATAAGTAACATTTTAAGAGATGAAACATGCAGAAAGCTGTATGAGATACAGCTCACCCTTTTGGAAACACCATGCATCTATCTTTGGTCCATACAAAAGATAGTGACGACTTCACAAATGTTTGTCAGGCTCAGAGAAAGAACAAATGGATGTTCAACCAGCATGTCTACATATATTAAAGTTATAAATCAAGCTAATAGACTGTAAAATAAAATATGTTCTAGGATCTAACTTTGTCAAATGTATCTTCTTAATAGCCTCAAAGGACAAGTTTTGTACAGGAACAAGGCAAAGCAGGACAGGCCTGTTTCCTACCCCCTTGTCTGTGTCCACATCACTAATTTCCCAGAATCAATCAACCCCTACAAAGAGTTTTCCACACATGCATGTGGATCTCTCAGCCGAGCACACATCGAAGCTCATGTACAGTGTTCAGTACAATGAACAATCCACAACCCTGTGTGCTGTGGGAAAATTACACTGATGCTGTTGTCCAACAAATGTGCATTTAGCCCACGCTGAAGCGTGAAGGTACATATACCGGGAGTCAATCTGGTCTTTAGGTAACTGACCTGGGGAAGAGACCCTCTAGGACCTGGAAATAAATTCAGGGTTACTTGGCAGGGAACAATGAGTCCAACCTATATTGATCATGATTTGCAAAGAGATATAAGGGTTCCAGGTGAGTATGTCTCCTTCCTCCCATTGAGTTCTTACCTCGAAGGGAAAAACTTCCCTACAGGAGGACTAGAGCACGGATTTGTAGGACACATAAGGATTATAAGTTTTCTTTAGTTGTACCACCCAGCCAACATATGATGTTGTGTATTGTTGTTGTTGTTGTTATGTGCCGTCAAGTCGGACCCAACTCATAGCGACCCCTCCTTGGGTTTCCGAGGCAGGCAATATCACTACAGAAGTCGATTGCCCAACTTTCTTTCCAAGGAGTGGTTGGTAGGGTTGAACTGCCAGCCTTCTGGTTAGGAGTAAAGTGCCTTAGGAACTATGCTACCAGAGCTCCCATCATCATTATATTATTTGCAATGAGAGATTATGATGTTTTATATGCATAGATTTTCTTCATCTCTACAAAGCATATTGTGACTTAGAAAATGCACTTGCCAGAAACATTCTGATTATGTGAATGTTCAATACAGTGGCAATTTTCCAAATGTCAGATCTAAGCTTTGCACATTTCTTTTTCTCTCTGAACATCACACTCATTCAAGAGAAGCTTATTAGTGTTATTAACCATTTGGTCAGAAAACTTTGTTTTTTCATAGACAGTACAGTGTTTATTGTGTATTTATTTAATAATTTTAATTGAAAAATATTCACAAGAATCACATTATTAATAAAATGGACAATTCCACTCAAGGTGGTGAGTGTTGGGAGGACTAAACCATGCTTATTCAATAGGAATGACTGAGGATTTCATTAAACATGTGGCATCTAAACTACCAGATAAAGGAGGAGGCAAGTTTTAGACCTGAGAAAATGTTACATGTAATAAATTTGACATTTGGAATGAACACTGGTTGAAGATAGATCATCCACTTGAGGTGTAGAAAGATGTGAAGGTAAGCCTGGAATCACTAAGACCAGTTCTGCTCTCCTAATCAGGAAGACAGTCAAGAGTGCCTAAAATGGTGAGATAGACTTTTTATACAGCTTTAGTTCTTTTTTAGAATATAAATCACAGCAGGGTTTTTACTTTCACTTAGCCTCCAGAGAGTTAACATTTTATATTTTAATGGGACCACATGCTGAGGAAGTTTATGCTGGATTAGAAATTGAACAGGGTGTAGAGAGTAAAGTTTCAAAGGGATGAGGGTTGCAAGTTTGTCCCTGGCTATGAGAATCAGAAAATGAGAAAATTCCTACCTGTTCCAAAGGGAATATAATTAAGATAAGCTAATTAGGGCCGACTCGACGGCAAACAACAACAACACATGGATATACAACTTTGGTCTTAGGAAGCCACTTAATTTTTTTTTTTCTTGATCTACAAGCATATGTGTTCATGATTAATTGAATTGCGAAGAAAATGACACCTTATTTAATTACAAAAGGAAACAACTGAACATTAGCACTGGAATAAAGAGTAAAAAATGACTAAATTTGGAAGATTTACTTTAGTCTATGATTATCATAATATTAATTTTAGAGAATATATTTGAGAACTTGTTGTTGTTGTTATGTGCCCTCAAGTCAGACCCAACTCATAGCGACCACTCCTTTGGTTTCTGAGGCTGTATCATGATGGAAGTAGATTGCCCAACCTCCCTTCCGAGGAATGGGTGGTGGGTTTGAAACACCAGCCTTCTGGATAGCATTCAAGTGCCATAGGCACTACGCTACCAGAGCTCCTATTTGAGAACTAGACACATATAAATGATGAAAACATATGTTTACTGCAATAAATGAGGAGGAGAGATGAATTTCTTGTTCTCTGGGGAATCACTTCCTTCCCTGGTCAAAGCTGATGTGATACCACAGCTAATTAATAACAAGAATGTTGATGGTGATATCGATTTCCTAATATACACTGAAAGAGACCAATGCACATAGTTCTTTGCTTGCAGTCCCTGAGTGCTTCCCCTTCCCCAGTTTCTCTTGAGTATTCACACCTCTCTTTATTGGCATACTTTCCGCATCCTTTGCCCACCATTGTCTCGTTCACTCCTTCTCTATGTTTTATACAATTTTTTTTCACATCCCAATTCATGTAATCAGTGAAGATTATAGAAAGATGACTCCTTTAAACTATAGTTTTTTTCATTCTTCTTCTCTTTATCTATTAAGTCTCAGTACTTTGATTTGTTGAAAACTTAATCGAACAGAATCAGTTGTTTATATTGTTGGGAAATGGAATTATGGATCATATGCCAACTAACTTACATCTACTTTGAGAGAAATAACTTTTATATTGATTTGACCTTGTGATATTTTATTACATGAGACATTAAGTTTCCTTAAACATAGAAAAAAAATGTCAGATTATTGTGGTTTAAGTTTCTATGTAACACCTGTTCTTTGGTGTGAAACATTTGTGCCACAAATCTTTAAGAAGAATTTTATGTTAATACTGACCTTTCTTTCCTTGAAGAAAGCCTATTAAAAATTCACAGCCTGCTGTGTTCCTTGTAAATTCACAAGCAGATAAAGGACATGGCAAGATACATGACAATTAATGAAAATAGAAGAATTGGTACAAGGTTGCATATTTAAAAGTCATTTTCTTATTAACTTTAAATTTACATATGTTTAATTAAAACTAATCATTACATTTGCTTCGATTGAGTAATTTAATATTTAAAACTAAACAATATGCTGAATTAAAATAAGAAGTCTTAAAAGAAACTATTATTTGATGAAAGTATATTTGGAAATGTGATGAGTTTCATAATTTTATAGTAACCCTATAAATTAATCATCTTAATGTATTTAGCTAAACGGAAATTTCAAGCTAAGAGAGATCTTGTAGCTTATCCAGTCTAATGTCAAACTATTTTTTTTAAATGAAGTAACCATGATCCAGTTTATTCTTATATCAAGCCAAAGTATTTGCCTTTTAATGTTGGTTCATTTATATTTTCCAGCTACTCACATAAATGAAATTATCTAAGTACAGAGAGTTAAAAACATTTCTTATCAAAAGTAAAATAGATAAATCATATTTTAGCTTATATTTTCACCCTTCTTTAGAAAAAGTAATGAATGATAACCGCCCCCCCCCAAAAAAAAGCCGTTTTTATTCATACTGCCAGAAAATATCAGACTACACTTTCAGAAAAACTTATTTATACATGTGTTATTAGGTGACTTTTATTCTCATTCAGAATATTGATACTTTTTCTATGTTAGTAAGGATTGCTATAAGACTGTATTCCAAAAACTGGAAAAATGACGATGCAGAGATTAGATTTATATTTGTAATGGTTACATTTTCTTCAAAGAATACATTTTGATAAATGAACCACAGAAACTATTCCATTTTAGTAAGAGATATTGACGTGTGCCATCCAAAACATTTTGACTCATATTGACCCTATGTGACAGAATACAACTGCTTCATAAGGTTTTCTATGCAGTAATGTTGAAGGGAGCATCTCACCAGGGCTTTCTCCTGCCAAGGGTCCAGGTAGGTTTGAACCACCGACCTTTTGGTTAGCAGCCCAGGGCTCAACCATTGTGTCACCAGGAATCCTTTATTAAGAGTTCAAATGGCTGAAATTCACTATATTAAATAATTTCTGGTTAGTTTTGTATTTAGTAATTGAAAATATCAGAAATCATTGAATAGAATTTCTAACATACAGTAAGAGCCAAGAAAATTCATACTTTTTTTTTTTTTTTAATCCTCAATGTGGTAAATGTGCTATGCTATCTTGGAGGTGGCATCAATATTGGCAGAGTATTCTAATTGCTGCACTGGGTAAAATGGCATTAAATGGGAAATAAAGCATTGCATCAAGTAACTTTAAATTCACATCCAACAAAAAAATACTAGCAAAGATGGCCAAAAATCAGGAAACATCTGAAAGCATGTTAAGCTCAGCAAATACAATCTGGTCGGAAATAAATAAGTAGTTACTCATTTTGTTGGTACTGAGAAGAAAGATGTGTATAAACCAAACCAAACACACTGCCATCAAGTCGACTCTGACTCAGAGAAACCCTATAGGACAGAACTGCTCCATAGGGTTTCCAAGCTGGTAAACTTTCAAGGAAACAGACTGCCTTATCTTTATCCTATGCAGCAGCTGGTGGGTTCGAACTGCTAGCCTTCTGGTCAGCAGCTGAATACTTTAACCACAGCCCCCTCAGAGCTCCTAGGTGCGTATGAAAAATCAAACTCACTGCTGTTAAGTTGGATCCGACTTGGGTTTACAAGGTGAAATCTCTGTGGAAGTAGATTGCCCAGTCTTCCTTCTGAGGAGTGGCTGGTGGGTTTGAACTGCCTGTCTTCTGCTTAGCAGTCAAGTGCCTTAGGCATTGCACCACCAGAGTTCCACAGTAGACCTTAAACTGGGCTATGTGAAATTCACAAACTGTGAAAATAATCCCTCAAATTTAATTTGCTCTACCCATGGCCTTTTATTAATATTAATAATATGAGAAAATATAGACCAATTTTATAAAGTTCAGTGAAACATTGGCTCAAAAATAGAAATAGGGATAATGACTAAATTATCAATAGAACAAATTGTGTGTAAAATAATAATACTTTAAAAACAGTCCATAGCAGATAATTTAGATTGTTGAAGTATTCTGATCAATTTATCTCTGAGACCAGAGGCAAGTAGAGAGGATTGAAATGATGGATGAACACTTAAACCTTAGTGCTTGGCAAGCAAATTAACTGGTATATTTTTCACATTTGACAAAGTTCCTTAAAGTCTCATCCAAAAGTAAAATCTCCAAAGGGGTCTGAATTCACAACTAGGAAAGCCTAGGAACTAAAAAGCCTAAAATATTTACTATCTTTAGAGAAAAAAGATTGCTTACTCCTGTTCTGGAGTTTTGATTAACTTTTAAATTTATATTTCATTCATTTAACCCACCTACTTTAGGCAAATATCACTGGTCATGCCACTTTGTAAGATGACAGCCACACCACTCCCAATTTTCTTTCCACCTCTCATCCAAGTATACCTGTCAGGTTATTTTCCCATTGAAAAAAAAATTATAACATTATAACTATAAATAAAACTTTGAGGAGTTCTGGTGGCGTAGTGCCTAAAGCATTTGATTGCTAACCAGAAGCCAGGTAGTTCAAACCCACCAGCCACTCCTCAGAAGGAAGGTTGGGCAACCTACTTCTGTAGTGATACCGTCTCAGAAATCCAAGGAG